ATTTAACTTTGGTTGGCATTTACTCTAAAATGTGTCAGCCCTTTTTTTCCCCATGAAGCCTGACACCCTCTACATTGATCCTTCGTTAATAAAGTTCACTGCACCACCAAGCATCAGCGTTTTCTCACGATAAATTTCGATACCTCTTATTGCCTCTTTCCTTTTACCTTGAGTTTGGAGCTTGCATCACTCCTTCCTTCTTAAAGTCACGATTATAGGGCCAAGTTTCAATGCCTCAACAATCCTGGGTTCGTCCATTTCCTTGGACAACTTGATCCTGGGCTACTCCATCAACTTAGATGAATCCACCTCACTTGGGAAAGTTCAAAACATACGTGGACCCTTATCTAGATGACCCTCTGTTTGCTTAACATTTACCTTCCACTTAGCATCCTCGATACTTGTACTTGTGTCAAGTTCACATACATCTTTTCCATAATCAACATTTGGGTCAACTTTGAGTGGACTGTGATCACCACTCGATGAACTATACACTTCTTCTTTAATATTGCATTCATTGTGGATTCCCTAGCCATTACCCTCGGCTTTCAACTTTAGCTTGGACATCTTCCAGAATCTAAATTGTTTAAGGGACTCGGAGGCTATCAAGGTGAAGAACCCATCTTTTTCAGTCAAATTTGAGACTTCAAGCATGAGTTCTTTAAACAGACTCGTGTACTCTTCCATTGTCCCTATATGCTTGAGACACATCAACTTAAACCATGCCTCCATCCTTGCATACCGTGAGAGAACATGCTGATTTGACGATTCAGGCTCTCTTGGCCTTCTGCCAACTTTGGCTTCCAAAGCAATGTTGTTCCCTTCACACATATCCTTAGAAAGCTCTTTGGTTGCCTTAGGTTTGGACAACTCTGTCTTCTCTCTGTGTTTACTTACCTTGACATAAACATACAACATTGAACCAAGTCTCAACGGCTCACTATATTTTGCCTTGTCTATCTTTACAGACTTCTTAGCTTGATTTGGGCACCCTGCAACTTGCAAGGCCCCTTACATTGGTAGCACTTTAGTTGCTACATTTTCTTCCTTGACTTGACAGTTTTATACTTCGTTTTCACACCAGGTCTCTTTCTTGACTCGACTACTTTGGATCTCATAGTCACACCAAGACTTTTTTCCTGCTTGACTGCCTTGACACACGTAGTCGCATCACGTCTCTTCTTTGTCTTGACTACTTTAATGGTCATAGTCACACCACCTCTTTCTCATTTCTTAGCCACATTGAAATTGGTAATCGCACCAAGGCTTGCTATTTCCCATCCTGACTTGTCTATATTTCTGATAATGGTAGCAAAGTGCCTGTTCTTGGGGCATCCTATAATAAAATGGGAACCATTTCTTTAACAAGGACTTGACCCCACCATTATTTGATGGCTTTCTATGGCTACGACTACTCGATGGCTCCTTCTGGCCACTCGAAGAGCTTTTTTGTCATCTTTTGGCTGTCCCTCATCAAGGTCTCCCCCAATTTTTCCACTATCACTGGTCATGGGTCTGGATGACTTACTACTGGTTGGCTTGTCTCTTTCAAGCTCTGTCAGTGACTAGGTTACAGTTATGGCATCTGAAAGTCTATAGGCATCATCTTGCTCCACTGCGAGCTGAGCCTGTGATTCTGTCCCTCTTGGAAGTTATTGAGAGCATCATGCTCACTCATTGATGACTTGAAAATGAGCAGCTCTCTCTTCAACTCATCAATTTCTTTCCTCCAATCCATCACCTCAGTTTCGAGCGTATATTTCCTTTGGACCGTTCTACAATCCACCTCATTGATAACATGTGTGCCAAATCCTCGAATTTGTCCTCAATGAACTCTAATTTTTCAAGAGGTGTCACTACAACTCCCTGGATTTCGTTGCCTCCATCATTGGAGCTTTCAAGGCTCACAATCCCCTTCTCTAATGATGATAAAGTCTCACTCAGATCTTTTACCTGAGATATAAGAATAATAAATCTCTCGTCAAATTCTTTGACAGAATGTTCCACCTGGTCCCCCGACTTGTTTATGAACTCCGAAATTCGGTCAAACAAACATTGAACTCCCATCCTGAACTTATCTTGTGAAGTCTCCAACGCATCCTCGATTCAAGACACTTTTGCCATCACCAAGTCCATTGGGATTTCCTCTTGTTTTCCATCATTGGTTTCTACACCCTTATCTACAGAACCACCTCTTTTGTGTGCAATCTCAATTAACTCTGCCATGAACTAGCTTGATCACCACCATGCTTGAATGCAACTACGAGCTAGTTTACTAGTAAGTCCACTCGACTTACCCTGTTTACCATTTCCATAAAATCTTTCTGGAACACTTGTTGTTACACCAACAACTCTCGCTCTGATATCATTTGTCACGGGGCTAGAATTTCAACTAGCAGATCAGTGCGACTTTAGATGGTTTATCATGTTGAAGTGGCATTTAAGTTAGCCTTAACCATGTCTAAGTGAGAAATTAACTCACTAAGCAATAATCAAACCCACCAAGGGGTTAACACAAATGCGGAAGCTAACACATCTAAGGCTCTTCAAAACCAACAAGATTAAACAACTCTTATGAAAAGTAAACACTATCGAGGCTATCTAGCCACGAAGAGAGACAACAATACACAAAGGCTTTACAGACAAAAGAGAAACAATTCTTGAAAAAACTAAGTGTAGGAAACAAAGTTAATAAAGCTAAGTCCCTCAAAAGTAAGCTAAGAAGCTTCGAAAACAAAAGAATCCAAGTGACTAAGTCACAAGAAACAAAGAGACAAGAGAGAAACTTAGAGTTAATGCATGAGTTGTATTACTCTGAAGAGAATGAATGAATTGAATGATTACAAATGAGGAGGGTAGGCTTCTATTTATAGTTGAGCTCCTTCAAATCTAACGGTCTAGATTGAATTACATCAACGACCCATATTGAAATGAAATCCTATCAGAATCTTATCTAAAGAATTCAAACTCAAACAAAACATTATCCCTTTCAATTTAAGTATTTATCTCCTTAAATGATGAGATAATTATTCCCTTTGGAAACTTCCAAGGAATGGGCTAGGTCTGATAGTCCTGAGGAGGCCCGATACTCTATATGACTCTTCTACGGATATCCGTGCACACTTATCTTAGTTAGAACTCCACGAGCCTCGATAATTTCCCCCACCAAACCTTGTAATACCCTCGTCACTTTTATCTCGAATGCCCTCGGACTTAATCCTTTACGGAACTAGCATTCTCCAAGAATCGGGGCAAATTAGCTTACCCTGTCAAGCCCAAGTCTACATAGATAACCTCTTCTGTGGGCCCATGCGCATAAATCATGGACCCAAATCCACATACCGTGACAAAAGGGATACAGTGGCAGTTACTCATGTTTTCTCATGCTACCCTCGTAAGCATCATCATTTAGGGGCTTTATCCTTGAGACTAGAAAGGTGGTCCTAAGGCATTCAATAAATGATAAAATAAGTATTTTACATATATGATGTGATTGTAATTAAGGGCTCTATCTTGGGACTAGATTTAGTTTTTGGGTTTAGACTTTGAATTCAAATTTTGAATACTTTTTGTATTTTAGTTTGATTGATGACTTGTTTGCAAATGTTAATAATGATGATGCGTGTTGTATGTATGTTAGAGGACTTGTTATGATTGGAGAATTGACAAAAAAATATGGTTTAATCTATGAATAGGGTATTATGGAAAATGAATCATGTGTGGAGTGTTCATGTAGGTTGAAAGAGTCTTATAGCTTTGTTGATTGAATGATTGAGGTATGATTGAATGTCTGGTCGGTGGAATGACACAATTATGTACGCAAAATAGTATGATATCTTGGTTGAATGATGCAATTCTAAGTCTATATTGTTTTCTCTACATTGAAAAGTTTGAAACTATAATTGAGGTATGTTAAGACTTTTGGTAAGGTTAAAATATCAATTAGGCTTAAAGTGAAGATTTGAGTTCCCAAAAAGTGAAAAATGCACAAAATGACACTTTGAGATTTATATTTTTATATGATGTATTTTATCATAAAATCTAACATGCAAGTATATTTTTTTAATATATGTATTTTGTTAAAGATTCGATAGGAGCATTATAGAACGTTTAAATCATGTTAAGGGATCTTTGGAGCCATTAAAGTATAAAATCTACAATTTTTTGGACAAAAGTTTCAAAATCGAATAAAGATGTTTTCAAATTTTATGGGCAAAAACATTTTAGTTTAGAAACTCCGTTTCTTTTCTAGTTCTCAAGCGCACGACTCATTTTTTTTTTTCATTTTTATTTTCATAGGCGGTGACATCAGTTTTAACATTGATCGTTGACCGCCTGTATATTTCTCATTTACTTTCTTATATTGCATATTTAATTTTTCTTCATATTTTATAGTTTTTAATAATTCTATCTATGTGATACGTTTTTCTATGACTTTATGATATTTTTCTCTACCTTTATGGTACGTTTGAGATTGTTGGACTACTTTTGTTTAATTTTTTTAAGGTTGGATTTGATTTCGCCTCGCTGATCAAGATGTCGCTTATTTGTTATACTATTGATCTTTCCTCCTTTAGACCCTTGTACTGAACCGTTTGCGTTCGTAGATAGTGTTCTCACAACACTCGATTATGATTTGCTGTTGTTGATGGTCTTTCAGTAATTTTAATCCCTTGTTTTGGTTTTTTTTCAATGTATCCAAATTTTATTGTATCTGTCTATTGTTCGTATTTTTTGGGTGGGTTTTAACTTTTTCTTTGTATGATCCTTTTACAATCTCGAATTGCTAATTTATTATTTTAATTGTTATAAAAAATTTTAATTATGTGTTTAGTCTATTTTTCTCGTAATTTTGAATATGATTTTTTAATAAAACTAGCGACGATATTTGTATTGAAAAAAACTAGGTTTTGGCTTTTATAATTAGAGTTTTAAATTTTGAAAAATTTAAAGGTTTTTATTTTTATTTTTTTGAAAAAAAAACAAAGGATAATTAAACACTAACTATGCCTAACACATGGAGCCATATCCCAGCGATCCGCCTGAAGCAAAGCAGCTACAATACTCTGGTTCCTGGAAGACCTGCAAATCACAAGATTGGACCCAAGCTAATTTCGCAACACCATCAGCCAGCAAATTCTGCTCACAAGGAGCATATCCCAAGCTCGCCTCCCATCGACAATACAACAACTTCCGTATATGATGAATGAGAGAAGATCCAGACCTTCGGCACGAGGTTCGGTCACACGCTTCAATGGCCTACTTGTTGACTGATTCCACACAAACCGATCAAAAGCCCATACTCAAGCTAGCGATAATCCTTCAAAGATCCCCCAAAGTTTCGCCTCAAACGCCGAACACTTCTCAATCAATTTAGAGAATTCCGTAATCCACCTTCCTTCTTGATCTCGGATAATATCACCACACACCGCAAAACCATCACTCGAACGGTTTAACTTTCACCTAATTTGCCGTTGGGCATTTCCAAGGACGATTCTTGTCAGCTTTACTGCATACAACATGCTTCCCTGCACAGCCGAATCTGGAGCCTTTATTGTCCAATTCATATGAATAGAACTCTGATTAAGAACACTATCATCAGCCACATAATTTTTATCAAATAAAATTCAATTCCTTCAACACCAAAGACACCATATAATAGCACCATACATAAGGTCCCAATCAGTATGTAACACCTCATATCGACGTGGTTGACCCGATCCGATCCGAGGTGTCACATTAGGGCCACCAGAGCGACCCACAATAAAAATCCATGAAATTTTAAAAGAAATCGATCGATTTAAAGTTGTAAAATAATTTATGGATAAAATACGAGTTCAGTATTTGTCCAATTCATATGAATAGAACTCTGATTAAGAACACTATCATCAGCCCCCTAATTACACTTGTACCGTACTCTGCCAACACAGCCAAAGGAACTCCCATTATAGCGGTTGATAGCTGAATTGGATCAATTCTTTTAACCTGAAATGGTAAATAAAATAGTGAGCTTTGGAAAGCTCAGTAATATAGAACTACCAAATGATACTGAAGAACATACAGATAAATGGAAAGCATAAATTTTCTTTATTGATTCAGACGTCTACAGGTTTTCGGGATGAGCTGAGGTTTCATTGATATTTCTTTGAGTAAAAGACATGAAGATTTCAGTTCAGAGGAAACATTCAAAGGACTAAGTTAAAGAGTTCGAATAGGATGTCTAGTGTGTTCCAACCAAAACTAGTGAAAAGGTACTAATCTTTTTAAAATAGTAACAATTTAAAACATATTTTCAATATCACAATAAAACCCTTCAACCGAACACCAATATGCAGTTCCCCGAAACTGCATCTATAAGGACTTACCCTAGGCCCATTAAGCGTAGGTGCCAACCTAAGGGAGCACCTTGTATCCATAAGGTCTTACCCTAGCCGAAGCGTAGGTGCCCACCTGAGGGGTGTGCCCTCAAGCCAGAAGGACTTACCCAACACACACAGTAGAGGAGCCACCCTAAGGGAGTACCTTAGGGTCCATAAGGTCTTACCACTAGGCCATTGGGCCTAGGAGCCCACCCAAGGGTCCTCTTAGGTCCATAAGAAATTACCAGCTCGATCGGTCTGAACATATATAAGGAATTACCAGTTTGACCGAAGTTTAACATGCAATAAGGAATTATCAGCTTGATTAGAACCGAACCTGCAAAGATTTCATATCAGATCCCAGAGTACCTCCAAAGAAAAACATTTTTCAAATAGTAATTAGTGGTAGCAAGAAATCAGAGTTCGGACATATCACTTCTGTAGAAAAGGTATCCAGAGATCATGAATCAGACATGCAGGCTTAAAACTTCAGTAACTCAGAAATTTTAGTAAAAACACATTTCAAAATAGATAAAACAATTATATAACAAATATGGAACACATTAGAGGATCCAGTTATTTTTCGAAGGTACTTGGTAATTATCAAGCGAGGTGAACATGAAACTTCTTCAACTGATCGAACTTGATGAAAGAGATCCATTTTAAAAAAAAAAATTGGATTACTAACAGACCGATCAGTCATTAGGGCAGTGATACATTAGTATCATATAATATTCGGATATAACCCTAGGATGTGTCAGAAACTGCTACATCATATGTATTTAAGGTTCGGATATTCCTGTGGTGATTTCGTAAATCATACACACGTAATGGCATTATAATTATTTAAATTCCTAAGAAATTTTGGTAATTCAGTTTAATAAAGGTAAGTAGTGATTTACAGTATTTCATATTTCAAGTGTATTATCCATCTTCCAAATCCAGTCGAACTGATCAGATCCCAATAATGTTGTACTTCTTGAGTTTACGGGTAGAGTAGTCTCGCGAATATTCATTTCTTAGTACTAATTACGCCATATAGTTGAGTTGAGCTGGGCTGGGCTCTTTTAGAATTATCGTCGAACGAACCTCGAGGAGACGAACATGTATTCAATCATTCCATGACCTAAGGGTATTCTTAGGTCATTTACCCTCTAGAGGCATTTTGGTTATTTCCCGGTTCAAGGGTATTAAGTCATTTTCTTCGATTCAAACGTATGAATCATTCTAGTAATTTATTTATCATGTGGTTTTATCCAAAAACCAAAAATTCTAAATCTTTTTCCATCTTGGAGGTTAAAACTCGATTACCCAGGATTGACTAATTAAAACTAGCATTTTCCATGTACTAGTTTCATCGGATCAATATATCTTTTCGGAGTTATTTTCCACTTCCAGGGACAATTCTTAACTTTTTACAATATAAAGATATTTTAGTAATTTTTCCTCATAAATGTATTTTTGAAATTTTACCTAACAAAATTATTTTCATAATTTATCATCCAAGTACCTTTGGCACTTAATATTTAAAGAGATAAATCAGAATTTACAGATCTTGAGATTTATTACTTTACCACTTAATCACAAAACTTGTAATTTAATTCTTATCGGCCTCCCAATTTCTTATATGAGTCATCTGAGTCATATCCAGTTACTGACATTTTACTGCATTCGAATCGAGTTTAGAAATAATTAACTATACATATGAGACTAAACATATTCATCCATGCATTTACCAATACCAACATGTTCCATAAAACATGCATAAGGTAGTAATGAATTACCTTGATTTCCATGCTCCACCGATTGAACATTTAAACTCCATTCGATCACTATCGAACTTGCATCCAACATTCAATATCCAATAATATGTCGGATACATATAAACAGAAATTACATCATAAACAGGACTTAATTGCGAAAGATTATCGAATCAGAAGGTAAAATGTTGAAAAATAGCTTACTCGGTTTTAATTTGGGGACAAGACTTCAGATTCGGACTCAAGACGTCAAAAAACATAAAATACGACTTTTTGGGTCAAATTCAACGTTCAACGGTCAACTCTAGTCAAAGTCAACGGATCAGATCAAAGACAACGGGTGGGTCAAAGTCAACGGATCGGGTCGTGTTGACTTAGTTCAGGTCAAACAGACCCAGTTCAGACCGGATTGGCCGTTTGGGCTGGTCCAAATTGATTGGATAGGTTCTAGAAGAAACTAGAGCTGGGGGACGAGCCCCATGCATACCGAAGGCACGTGGTGACACGAGAAACGATGGCAAGGGGCGGGTCAGTCAGCCAATTACTCTAGTGCATTTATACATCACTGGCAAGCCAAAATTAAACCTAACAATCAACCAAAATCGTGATAATTTACCAAAAATTAAAATCGAGCTTACCAACATCGACGATCGACGAAAATGACGACGATGGGTGACAACCCGATCAGTTTTGGTTGCACGGAGATGGGAGTTAAGTGCTCGTGGCGGGTGAGGCGAGCCAACGTTTTGAACGGCCAAAAATCAAGAAAAATAGAAGGGTAAAGGGGTTCTTGATGAAACTTCAACTAGCGTTCCGCAGTGAATGGCGATGGCTTTTGACGATCGAACTTAGGGATTTTGGTCGGACAGTCGCAGTGCTTTGATTGGAGGTGGCGGTGACACTCACCGCCAATCGGAGGAGGGGAATCCAGAATCGTGACGAATGAACTTGGTTTGAGGTTTAGGAAATTTGGGGTTTCAAATCTGATTTTGGATTTTTTTTTAAAAAAAGTAAAACCTGGGCCTAAAATATGAAATATATTTTTAATTAATTTGTTCTCAAATAGTGACCCAGGCTAGATGACTAAGGCATGGGTAACCATCCTCTAGGTCACAAGTTGAAGTGTCTCTCGCCACCCAATTTCCATTTTTTTCAACATACCAGAAAAATGGAATAATTCAGGATTCGTTCCCTAAACTTCTTAATTTTTCTGAAACTAGCCAAAAAGTTTCAGAAACTTGCACTTTAGTCCTTAAAATAAAAAAAAATTAATAAACTTTTAAAATTAAAATGGGGTGTGACACAGTGCCTTTCCTTAGGAAATAATTCGGCTTCTCAATATTCACCTCGATCCACTTCTCCAGCGGCTGGGAGAAAAATTCCCCTAACCTTTCTGGTTTTATCAGGCTATTCAACATCAGTTTTGAAGCATTATAGTCCCAAAAAATATGAATGTTAGACTCGACATCTGCTATACATAAAACACATCGAGTCTCCATCGTTCCTCATTCGATAACAACTTAATTTTATAAAGCAACCCTAAGTGAAGCTTCATCCGTGGCAGTCCCCTAAAGGATGAAGTACCATACTCGGGAAGAGTGAGTCGAGAATCTCCCGTATCCAGTCCCCATTTTCCGCCATATCCCTAACACAAAGAGGATTATTATCCACCATATTAGCATCACTACAACAATATTTCAGGGGTCCCAAATCCGCAACCCACACGTCGTTCTAGAAATCAACTCTCTCACCATCCCGAACGCTACATAACAGATCGTCTCTCACATTTTGCCAAACTAATGATAGTCCCGACCAAAGTCTTGAACTTTCAGATTTTTAATTGAAAAAGGTATAGATTAGGGCACCTTGTATTTTACCGTTAGGACTCGAGCCCATAAATGACGCTTCTCCGATAAAAGACGAAAGCTGATCTTCATTAGAAAAGCTTCATTTTGAATTTGTAACTTTTTGAAACCCATCCCTCCATTATCAGTCGGCTTACACAACTCATCCCAACTTACTAAATGGACTTTCTGCTTCTCATCAGAGCCACTCCAAATAAAACGACGAATCAGTTTTTCAATTTCCTTACAAACACTTTCGGAATGTAACAAGTTTCATGGCATATGTAGGTAACGCAGCAAGAACTGATTTAACCAAAACTACTCTCCCCGTGAAATATAGATACCTCGCTTGCCAACCGGAAAGCCTATCCTGGACCTTCTGAACAATATACTGATAGGTAGATTTGGTGACCCGGTTATGCAAAAGTGGGACTCCCAGATACTTTCCAAGATTCTCAACACGAGTATACTGAAATCCACTACTAATGTCCTCTATCACTTGCTCAGCTACATTATTTGAAAAATAAATACTCATTTTTCTTGTACTAATTCGATGGCCCGAGCTACAGCAAAATTCCTTAAAACCCGCCGAATAACCTCCAGCTGCTCCATCAATGCTTCGGCGAAAATTAAGAGATCATCAGCGAAAAATAGGTGTTAAAGTTTTGTACCTCCTCGAGAAAGTTAAATCGGCTTCCATTCATTTGTCTGGACTTTACTGTTAATTGCCTGCGACAAACGCTCCGTGCAGAGAACAAAGAGATGCAAAGATAAAGGGTCTCCTTGCCGAATACCCCTTGAAGGTGTAAAAGCTCATGTTTTCCCCCATTCAACAATATCTGAGTTGTTGGAGTCGTTACACAACTCATAATTAAGTTTCGTAATTCACTCGGAAACCCACATCCATCAAAGTATCATCGATGAAGTTCCACTCAAGGCAATCATATGCCTTCTCAAGGTCGAACTTAATGATCATCCACCCTTTCTGGCCTTTCTTACTTTTCATCGAATGAATCACTTCCTGGGCGATCACAATATTATCCAAGATACTACATCCTGGAACAAAACTTGTTTGGCTCTCAGATACCCGATAGGAATATACGGCTTCAATCTGTTCACTACGACCTTTATAATGGTCTTGAACATGACATTACAAAGGCTAATCGGTCTGAACTGAGTGAAATTCTCAGGAGAAGAGATCTTCGGATGAGGACCAACAAAGTGTACCTTCTGCGCAACAACTCCACACGAACTGATAAATTGAAGGTCCAACAATAACCCAGTTCTGTTCATAGAAAAAAGCATGTAAACCGTCATCTCCAGGAGCTTTAGACGGATTCATGGAAAAAATTGCAGATTTAACTTCCTCTACAGTTACTTCCCGAGCTAAATATTGCACATCAGTCGAACTCAAAGTCGGGAAAAGGCCTCGCACATGATAAGTGTAACCAGTGTCCAACGAACTAGTGAAGAGCCTTGAAATCTACCGCCAAACGTCGAAGCACCACCTGATCAGAGCGCCATTCCTATTATCCATGCGTAATGAAGAAATATAATTCACCCGCTGTCTACGTTTGGCATATGCATGGTAAAACTTCGTATTCCTATCTCCATTTAGAAACCAATTACACCTAGACTTTTGGTACCAAAGACTTTCTTCATGATCAAGGACATTCTTAAGTTCCTCTTTCAAAGCAAGTTCGAGATCCCGTAGAGAAGTAGAGTAGCGCTGTGCAATAGCATCTTCAATCCCTTTAATTCTAAAAATCAAAATTTTCTTCCGTCGGTGGATACTACTGAGCTCATTTTTGCTCCAATCCCGAAGCTTAACTTTAAGAGCGTTAAAATTACCAATAACCGATTCCATTGGGGACCACCAGTTCTTAATTAAACCCCTGAAATCTGGATGACTTTTTCATGCAAATATGAAGCAAAAAGGGGACTCCGTCCATCCATTATCCCGATTATCAAGTTGTAAAAGAATCGACCTATGGTCTGACCCTATTTTTACTAGATGAGACACGTAAGAATTCGAAAAATGCTGGAACCAGACATCATTAACTAGGAACCTATCAAGTCTTTACCGAAGGCTTCCCCGTACCCAAGTAAACCATGGACCCACCACACGAAAATCTTGAAGAGCCTGAACAAAAATAAATTTACTAAAATCCCGAAAACCACCAAGCCTGCGCCTAGCACCACCTGATCAGTCTTCCTCCCAGAGAATATCATTAAAATCACCGCCTACAATCCAAGGCACATCCTTTCCCGGGTTTAAAAGATTCAGACTTTCCCAAATCGCCTTCCTGAGAGTTGCATTTTGACTCGCGTATACAAAAGTTAAATACACATCCTTTCGGAGATGGCCAAACTAAACCAAAACTTGCATGTATTGATTAGAAACACACAAGTCACAACACCTTCACAGTAATAGAGTTCTGCCATAATAGTCAAATCCCATTGCTAAAACCGTGAGCTTCAACCCGGAACAAGTGAGGGTAACTGACGCCAGACAGAATAGTGATTATCCTGTAGGCTAGCTCCGACAGACGATTCACAAGAGAAAATTCGCCCAAAAACCAGAGAAAAAAAGTCTCTAGGGTTTAATAAAATATTATAAAATCAAAAACCATCCAAAAACCAGTCCACAAGCCGGACTGTTATAGCAAAAAATCGTCTTTATTCGAATTTTGCCAAAAATAGCAAAATCCCGAAAATCACTCTAAATTGAAATTCGAAATAAAATAAGCAATCTCCCAAAAATCCGGCCTAAATCGGATTTAAATTGACTTCCTAATTAACAATCGAAATATTACCATAAATAGTAAAAAATAACTAAATCTAGTGATTCGGAGGGGAAAACGGCAGAATTTGAGGTTGAAAAAAAGGCCACATGGAGCATTGCTCGATGTGGAGAGCGTGCGCGTCGAAAAGAGCTTTCCGGATTGGGGTCTTATGCGCGATTCTGACACCTGTAGCCAAAGTTATGGCCAAAAGACTGAAACATACTCAAAACGACCCCAATGAGGAACATGTCACAATCAATTCTCGCCTTTGCGCTGATCTGCCAACTCATGGTATCTCAGCGCCATCAACATGCAATCTGACAGCTCAGTATCATCTGTCTCGGATCCCCCTACATCAGTCACCCCGGGTTGGAAAGAACTCGTCCTCGAGTTCAGAGTAGTGTCATCAGGATCCACAAAACAATGACTCAGGTGCTTCACATTAAAGACATCAGAAGTCTTCAAGTGACTGGGAAGTCGCAACCTGTAAGCATTATCATTGATCTTCTGCACGACCTCACAAGGTCCAATCTTTCGATCCTTAAGCTTATTATACTCACCAACATGAAAACGATCACGAGTTAATACAGCCCAAACAAAATCACCAACATCAAAAAGTATCTGACGACGATGATTGTCGACCCGAGTCTTGTACTTGGTATTGCTCTCATGAATGGTCTGTTTCACCTGCTCATGGATACCCCGAAGATACTTTGCCATCTCATCTGCTTTAGGACTGAAACATCCTATACGTGGAATAGGGGCTAAGTCCAACACCCCGGATGGGTTCTGACCATAGACAATCTCAAATGGGCTTAAACCTGTGGTTCTGTTTTTTGATCTGTTGTAGGCAAATTGTGCCTGAGGCAATGCCAAATCCCACTGCTTCGGCTTCGTTCCTGCCAAACACCTTAAAAGGTTTCCCAAACTTCGGTTCACCACCTCAGTCTGGCCATCCGTCTGGGGGTGGTAGGCGCTACTGAAATTTAACTGCGTTCCCAGTTTCCCCCACAGGCTCTTCCAGAAATGACTGATGAACTTAGTATCACGATCTGAAGTGATGGATCGAGGAACACCATGTAAACGCACAATCTCCTTGAAATAGAGATGGGCAATCCGGTCAGCATCCATAGTCTTTCTGCAAGCTACAAAATGAGCCATCTTGGAAAACCTGTCAACCACAACAAAGATAGAATCAGAGGCCCTTTGGGTGCGGGGTAAGCCTAGTACAAAATCCATGCTGACATCGAACCAAGGAGCTTCAGGAACAGGTAAGGGAGTGTACAATCCCACATTGGTGAGAACTCCCTTAGACCGCTGGCACACATAACAACGGTTCACATAATGGGCCACATCACTAGTCAACTTGGGCCAATAAAATTCAGAAGAGATAAGGGCCAATGTCTTATCTCGGCCAAAGTGTCCCTCATTATGGAGTTCACTTATAATTTCCTGCCTCAATGAACAATCTGGAATGCACAATTGTAATCCACGAAACAGATACCCATTATGCAAAACAAAATCATGACGGTGACCCTCAGTTACCTCCTGAAATATCCTTCCAAAGGAAGGATCAGCTGCATACATATCTGTGAACGTCTCAAATCCTGCAACTTTAGTACTCATGGTGGTGAGAAGTAAGGTACGACGGCTCAGGGCATCTGCGACGCGGTTCAAACTCCCTGCTTGGTGCCTCAGCGTAAAAGTGAATTCTTGCAAGTATGCTACCCACTTGGCATGACGTCTACTCAGCTTGTGTTGGCCATTGATGTACTTCAAGGCCTCATGATCGGTAAACAGAATAAACTCCTTCTGTACTAGGTAGTGACGCCAATGCTTCAGGGACTGAACTATGGCATAGAACTCCAGATCATAAGTGGAATAATTTTTCTTTGATCCCGATAGCTTCTCACTGAAAAAAGCAACCGGACGACCTGCCTGACTCAGAACACCACCAATGCCAACGCCAGATGCATCACAATTTACCTCGAACACTTTGTCAAAATCTGGAAGTGCCAAAACTGGAGCCTCTGTCATCTTCTGCTTGACCAGTTGAAAACTGGCCTCTGCCTCCTCAGACCACTGGAAATCACGCCCCTTGAGGCACTCTGTGATAGGGGCGATCAGAGTACTGAAATTTCTAATGAATCGACGGTAAAAAGACGCCAAGCCATGGAAACTTCGGATGTCATGTAAGGTTCTTGGTCTGGGCCACTCCAAGACTGCATCTATCTTTGACTGATCTGCATGAACACCATCAGTAGACACAACAAAACCAAGAAAAGTCACAGAAGTAGTGAAGAAAGAACACTTCTTTTGATTGACAAACAAGCACTCCGTTTTCAGCATCTCAAAAAACATCACGGAGGTGATCGAAGTGTGAAGTCCATGTCGGACTATAAACGAGGATATCATCGAAGTAAACTACAAAAAAATTTCCCCATAAAAGGCCGCAAGACCTGATGCATAAATCTCATGAATGTACTGGGCGCATTGGATAACCCAAAAGGCATGACCATCCACTCATACAACCCTTGTGGCGTTTTAAACGCCGTCTTCCACTCATCTCCAGGCCTTATTCTGATTTGGTGGTAACCGCTCTTAAGGTCAATTTTTGAGAAGATCTTAGAACCAGATAGCTGATCCAACATATCATCTAGACGGGGAATTGGAAACCGGTACTTCACTGTAATTCTGTTGATCGCTCGGCTGTCAACACACATACGCCAAGAACCATCTTTCTTTGGCACTAACAGAGCAGGGACTGCACATGGGCTCATACTCTCTCAGATATAGCCCCTCTCCAACAACTCTTCCACCTGTTGCTGCAACTCTTCGGCCTCCTTGGGACTGAGGCGATATGCTGGTCGATTTGGCAAACTTGACCCAGGAACAAGGTCAATTTGATGCTGAATATCCCTCATAGGGTAGTCCAGGAGGAAGATCCTCTGGTATCAAGTTAGAGAATTCTGCTAGCAGCCGCTGCACCTCTACTGGTAAATCTGTATCCACGTCTACTGCATTGTTCTCGCAAGGTAGCAAGGCATAGACCACGCCGCCATGCTCAATCTCATCTAAAAACCTGGACATAGAAAGCAGATTAGTATTATAGGTTACTGGGGTAGGAGTAAGTCCTTCCCGCCGGGGTGCCAACACAATCTTTTTTCCCTTGATGCTAAGGGAATATGTATTCTTCCGTCCATCATGAATGACACTGCGATCATACTTCCAAGGTCGACCCAACAATATATGACACGCATCCATAGACACAACATCACACCATGCATTATCAAAATATTTTCTACCAATTGAAAAAGACATGAGGCATCGCCTATCAACTGTTACCTCACTGTCTTTATTTAGCCATGACAACTTGTATGGCTTAGGATGACGGTCCGTCTTCAACTGCAATTTCTGGAAAACCTCCTCGGACACTACATTCTCACAACTGCCGCTGTCAATGATCATTTTGCAGACTTTATCTGCAACTGTGCAAGTCGTGTGGAAAATATTGGTTCTCAACCAATCGTCCCCTGAATCGCCCTTGGGGGTAAGTAGACTCTTGCGAACGACCAGAGTCTCATGACCATCTCCATACAGCACATCATCAGTCTCATCATCGTCATACACGGGTTCGCCAATCTCCTCAGTCTCGTCTTCCACGTTTTCCTCAATCAACAAATTTTTGCCCTTTTGACTAGCAGGCTTCCTGCAATCAGTCGCCCTATGCCCTTGTTCACCACAACGAAAACATCTAATAGTAGGGTTAGAATTACCCTGCGGTGGCTGCTGAGCAGGACGAGACTCTTGAGGGCGAACTGGTCGACTATTGTGATCGCTCCTGATCACTAGTCTCCTGTTTTGTTGTTTTTCAACAGCAAGTGCATGCTGGTATGCTTCCGAAACACTCCACAATGAATGAAGGCTGAGGACATCTTGCAAGGGCTGGCGTAAACCCCCCAAATATCGCGCTACCATCTGCTCCTCCGTCTCAGATAAATCGTTCCGGGCGACCAATTGGTAAAACTCCTCCGTGTAATCATCGACTGATCGCGCGCCCTGCCTCAACGCATGAAGTCGC